CTCTTTAACAAGCCAAGTCAACTATTTCGAAAACTTGATATCAAAACCATTTTACGATACGAAGGACATTTTCTTTTTAGATGCAAGTTTCGAAAATATCAAACAATTTTACAAACATCCAATGGGCCGAGTCGAACGTAAAGCCCTCAACACAACTTTGTTGGAAAGTCCTGATAGTGATGAAGATAACTTTGAGTTGGAAAACAGAGAGAACATGGTTATGGAAGAGGAAATACCCTTGGTATACAACGAGGAAGTTGGTAAGGTCAGTGAAGTAGCACAATACAATTCATAAAATAACCCACAAATGATGTACAACTATTACAATCCAACCAAGCTCCTTTTTACCTATCGCCTTATCCATACTATAATACATATATGCCACATTATATGTACCCATATTATGGAGGATTTCAGATGGATTATGGTCATCATTAATTAATTCGGCGCGTATTATATTTCAGTCTGTTCAATACCTAATTTATAGTCTCATCGCCAAGTGTGAATAATGTATAAGAGGGCATCGAGACAACCTCCAAATATCATGACTTAAGATTGAGTTTCCATTAATATTTTTGTTTTAAAATATATATACCATAAAATATTAAAATAATCTATTACAAATAGTTTTATAATTCATTTTTTAAATTTTGGAATTTCAATTTTATACAATTATAAAAATTGGAATTATAATTTTTGGGAGATGCTCCGATATTCCACTACTACTTTGTTATTTTTATTTGAAACAAAAAAAATGTCAATTTTGAAACAATTTTAATTTTAATTTGTACAAAAACATTTTTATTCGAAACAATAATGATTGATTAAAAGACATTTAAAAAAGGTACATTTTTGTTTTTTTGTGAAACACTTTAAATTTATTTTGATAATATTTTGATTTTATTTGGTACAATCATATTTATTTGTTGAACATTTTTAAATTAATTTGAAACTAACTGTAAATAAAAAAATTAAATCAAATCACATTTAGAAACCATTTTACCATTATTCACCAAAAATTATCAAAAGCGGTTTTTTCCATTCCTTTACTATTATTACCATTGGGTATCATTTTTGAATTTGATAATAATTATCCTGATTAAAAAAATTTCAAGTAGAGTTTAAATTAATAAATTGAAATTCAAATAGAATTAGTTTCAAGTAATTTTCTTTTGTTCCTTAATCGTATCTTTCGAAGTCATTTTGACTAAAATACCACAATCCGTTAAATTGGTCTGTAAAATGTTTTTCAGTAAAAAAAGATCTTTCAACGATACACGATGTTGGAAATATCGATGTCATTATTGCATCAATTACACACAGAAATTGTAGGTAGTCACGTTCTGTTTGAAACATTGCTATCAACAAAGAATGAAAAAATATTGAGGTAAAGGACATACCTTGAACAAATTGGATTTATCGACATTTTCTCTATTTTTCAGCTGCTTTGACTTCAAAATTGCGTTGTTTTTTGACGTGTATTTGGTTTACAGTCATTTGTTCCTAAAAATTTATTCCATTCACAAAAATTGCCAACTCATCATTAATACTGTCTTCAGCATAGTCGAGATGTTTTTCTGTATTGGAAGCAGATGAAATAGAATGTGTAATTTGATCGGGTTAACACTCAAATGGCCTAAAGCCAAAAAATAAAATTTTTCTAATAATTTATTACCAAATTTGATTTTTGCCTTTCATTTCATTTTTAAGAATTTCATTTTTCAAAATGAAATTTGGCAAAAATTTTTTATAATAATTTTTAAAGTGACGACATAAAGAGCACCAGAAAACTGTCGTACAGCAGAAAATAGTCGTACACATTGTTTTATAGTATTTTTCTGTATAAAGTCGGGTTTTTATTTTTTCAAAACCCAATTTTTTTCCCAATTGTTTAGTCAAATTTTATACGTGAAAAAATATTCCCGATTTTTTGGTTTGTTTGATACTAAAATCACAAGTGTTCGACAATTTTCTTGCCGTACGACTATTTTCTGTTGGTCTTTAATTAAATAATTATTTTGTATAATTATAATAACATAAACTAATATTATAAGGGGTCTATAAACTAGTTGGGGAAGGCTCCAAAACTTCGAAATTAATACAATGTAAAACATAATCAATTAATATTTATTGTTATTATTCAAAAAAACAAAAACCCTTGATTTTCCGTTTTCGCTCACTTTTTGGAACAATTTTGATTTATTTGTTTGTGGTAGGAAAATGGATTTATTAACTGGCCAATAATATGAACGCTTTTTGTAAGTCAAGTATTGTATTTGTAAATTATAAAAATATTTTTTTTACAAATATTGTTTTGTAACAAACCTGTTGCGAAGTGACGGGTAAAAATTTGCAATAATTTTTGTTTTTTGGAACGAAAAATGAGACCTTTGTTTTTGTATTTATCTAAAAAATAGTCATCGTTTCTCTTAACGATGATATTTATTTTAATATGTTTAAACACAAAGTGTTATATATGATACATATGGGATAATGTTATAATATTATTGTTCGTCATAAAGGGTAATATGTATAAATATGTGTTTTAAAAAGCTAAAAAACGAATCCCTGTAAAAATAATTTATACTCTTTATTTTGAAAAATTGGAATAATAAATTGTTGTAATGGACTCTTTGATAACATCTATTGAATAAATAAATTGAAATGAATGATAGGTAAATGCACTACATTTATAATTGTAAGGTTGTTGATTTTTTTGAAAATAAAATGAAAAATAAATTGTTTTGTTGATAGTAAATTATAATATTGTTTTAGTTTTATAAAAATTAATAAAGTCAACTTTAATAAACACATTCTTGGATATCAAAAGAGAGTTTTGTTGTTAATAAAAAGCTGTTAACAACATGTTAAATACACCATTTGAAGGTTGTGTGTCTGATCCCCGTTATTTATTAAAGAATAAGTTGATGTGTAAATCATTATTCTTGATAAAATAATAATTTTATAAACTAATAAATAAGCATAATATATATTATAAATAATTATAACATATAATAGTATAATATAACATACATCTAAAGTAAAAACATTTTATAAAAATAATGTTTTTATTAAAATGCTTTCAATAAATATATTAATCGCCATTTATTGTCATAATAATTTCAAATGAATCTCGATAAACAATTAAAATTTAATAATTTATTATATTTAAATATTAATTGTATTAATCAAAAACATTGTTACGTTTCAATTCAAATTTAAAATAATTTAAAATTACATAAAAATAAAATCAAAAGTCAACAGATTCAAAAAACGAATTTTGGACTATAAAAGAAAAAATTATGAACTCAAAACAGTCATTCACTGTGATATTTATAATATGCGGGGAGAGATTGTGATAAAAAATAATATATAATGTGTGTGAGAGCGAGATATTTTAATTTGCCACGGTCGTTGACCACTTTTTGTGTAGTGTGAACAAAATGTTTAAATGTGTGTTATATGATAAAAAAGAGAACGCGATTCTCTTCCGAAATAATATATTTTATCTACAAAAAAATATAAATGATTTGTTTTTATTCATTGGTTATTTTTGGGTTTTTATTAATTTCTAAAAATGCAAAACAATGAAAACAAAAATCATGTGTTTTATACTTCCCAAAACTGCAGAGCAGGGTTTTTCTTTTCCAAAATACGTGTAAATATTGTTTTTTCCTTAAAAAGTTTCTAATAAATTCCCCAACCAGTTTATAGACCCCCTATATAAAAATTTTTGGATTTTGCAAAAAGACAAAAATGATGTTTGGAAAATATAATAATGTAAACTATTGTTACATAATATTAATTATAACTAAATAAATAGTTTTATATATTTTTAACCTAATATTAACTATTTGTTATGATAATGTTATAATAATATTAATAGATTATTTTTTTGTTTTTTATTCAGATCTATTTTTAGTGACATGAACTAAAACATCAATAAAAACAACATACAGTAAAAAGCATCTATTTGTGGGTTTTCAAACAGAGAAAAAATATTTATTTGTGGTTTATCATAGAATTGTAAAGAAAATTCTTTTCACTATTTTATACATTAAAAAATGAAAGATATTAATGATATTAGAGTATTTTAATTATAAAAATACTATAATTTTTATTTAAGTGTACCTAAATTCAAAGTTCCAGAGCAAAATAATTATTTGTGGGTTTTGCATTTGATTGGTCCATTGACCCACAAATAGACACAACCCACAAATATAATACCCCAAATAGATGCTTTTTACTGTATTATCTAATTAAAAAGCAACTTGCTGTTTATCTAGTCAACACCGTCACACATCAAATCAAATTGAGTTTGTTATGGTTCGTTTTTATATTATTAATATACGTCTTATTTATGCTACAAAATTTGTTATTGTATATTGGATATATTATTATTCAATAAAACAAATTTGGGGTTCTGAAATATAGTAAAACTTATTAAACGCGGCACTTTTGAATTGCGCAACTCTCAATAGAAAGCAGTTTAGACTGAATCCAAAAATCGAGTTTTCTATAGAAAAAGTTTTGATGTTTGATTGGCGAAAATTTCCGTTCTTGAGAGTACACAAATTACCATACATTCCTGCTCTTGAAAAGTTTGACTGTGTTTTTGAAAAAAAATATGTGTTGCTATTTTTAACCTCAAAAACAAATCTTAGGTAATTGAGTCCTCATTTTTATTATTTTTGACTAAGTTTTGGGTCATTTTTCGGTTTTTCGGCCAAGAAGGGGTTTTTGGTCTTTTTAACAACTTTTTTCAAGAAGGCATTTTTTGATATTGTTATTATTCTAATAAAAATTTGGTTTTCGGCCAGTTAAGTGTTAAGGATGGCAAAAAAAAATTTTTTTCTTTTAGTTTATAAAAAAATGAAAGGGAGTGAAGGAAACTTGTTAATTTTTTGGAGAGTTAATGGCATAAAGTTTGATAAACATCTTATGTAATTTTAAAAAAAGAATAGGAAAACATAAAACAAATGATCAAAATGATGACTGAATTAAGCATCAGCAACACCAGTTGGATAAACAGCGCCTGTTGCGATACCGCATTGGTTATTTTTGTTTCTTGACATCAAAATGTATCCGTCCAAACCCCATGAAGCACCCCATGAGTTTCTGACGATGTAGTAGTCAGATCCGTCTTGAACACCATATCCAACAACAGCGACTCCGTGGTCCAATTGAGTTGATGAGCATTTAGCCTCGTCATAGACACCCTTCTTGTACAATTGGAATGAAGCACGAGAAGCATCAATAGCAACTGAGACAACACCTTCAACAGCGGCAGCGGTCAAAGCAGCTTCGTCACCTTGAGCAATTGATTTTTGTCCAGAGATGTGAGCAACAACCTTAGTTTTGTCATAGGCGCAGGTGGTTTCAGTAGCAGTGTATTTGTAGTCAGATTCAGCCATGATTCCGTTGGTCTTGATGTATCTGAAAGTCATAACAAGAGATCCACCAGAACATCC